GCTGTTCCCCTGAGTGCAGCCCAATCCCATGGAGTCATCTAATAACTACTAGCTACTCCCTCCAATATTCCTATAGTAAAGGAACTTTACAAACCATTTTCTATTATGCTTCACCTGAATTCCTTAAAAACTTGATAGTGCAAAGATTCATGCACAGGTTGTTGACCTGGCTGAATAATAGCTGGGAAAACGCCAAAATCTCCAGCTTTCCTAGCTCCTCTAAGACAGCCCATGATAGCTGGGTGTGGAGATGCTGAGGAATTGTCCGCAAAAGGTGGAGGAAGGGGAAAAGAATCTTCTTCCTTTGATGACAATTGGGGGGGGGGGGCTGATTCCAAAGTCTCCTCTGAAGGCGAGATTGGAGCCAGCACACCGCTGGGACTGATTTCCTTAGTGGCTGCAATGCTGTAAATACCAGTTGCCATAAAAGAAGGGTTGAAGTCAAGAGATTATACCCCAAATCCTTGCGCACCCTAAAAGTTCCCCCCACTTTGAACCACACATCAGAATCAAACGTGCCCTCCTTAGGGAACCATACGGAGCATTGAGCTGCTTTCAGCAGCTGTTTTAAGACTCGCGCATAAAGTCACTGATTTTTAGAAAATCCTGACAGGTGCTGTCTGACAAGAAATCCCCTCACAGTCACTAGGTATGCTGGCAGCTATCCCAAGACAGGCGCTCCTGACTCAGATAACTTGAGCGTACTTTCACTTTTGATCCAGATAGCTAATTCCCTTTCACATACTGTTACGTTGCTGGTCATGTCGAATCACATCATTGTGTGTTCAGGGTCACCACTTGCTGACTCTTGGCCTGCTGGGGGTCGTTGCAAAGCAATGAATTACAAGCAGACAGGGCTTGGAGTGAGGGGGAGCATCACAAGGGAGCAAATGCTCCTGATCTCTGGACACAGCCCAATTTATTTGCAAAGTGGTTCCCTAGGTTACATGGTGTTGTAGGTAATTAAGTCCTTGAGATCTTGTCTCTGCTGACCTTTCAGCTAAGCCCAGCATTCTTCCTCTTCCAGCTGCCCTTTGCTGTTTTCAGCAGAGATACATAACCAACATATTCACATTTGGGCCATAAACCCATTGGCACTTTCAGGATGGGGTTCCAAATCCATCATGCATACTTTATCTATTCTTATGCATACTTTGGTCCTTGGCTGGCCAGGTCACGAGAATGCATACCTCAGAGTTACATTTTGTTCAGTCACCAAACCCCCAACCCTAAAATTAGTGAAAAACTTTTTGATGCTGGATATATGCTTAGGCCAGGCAATATCTTTCAAGCTTGGGGAGCTTATGTCTGAAGATACCTGATGTTCTGTTGTCTCAACTTTCCCCCTTTATTACATTTTGTTTCTCCATAAGTGAGAAGGGACACAGGGAGAGGAAACAGTCTTCAAAGTTGTGATGTGGGGGTGGGGAGGATGGAGAGAAAGCAGAAGTACATGGCTGTGAGTCTAGGAAGTGCACAAACATTTTCAGAATTTGGATTTTTATCTTTGTTTTCATTTTTGAAATTTCTGTTGGTGCTGCCACCTGCTGTCCTGCATGGGGAAGGACCCAATGGTGGTGGGGGTTCCAGAATAAGGGAGGTTTTCCTGCAGCCTTCATTAGACCTTAAAGAAGAAGGAAAGGGACACCTGCCTATCTCTGAACATCACTCTTTAGATTTATTTCTAGAGAATAAATATTTCCTCACACATTTTCTGAGGAAATCAGAAGAGCTTAGATGAGTGGCTTTGGGCCAGGGTCTCTCACAAGGCGTTAATCAAGGTGTTGGCCAGGGATGCAGGCATCTGAAGGTTTGACTGGGGCCGGAGGGACTCCTTCCAAGACGGCTCACTCACATGGCTGAGGGCAGGAGGCCTCAGTTCCTTGACACATAGCCCTCTTCATTGGACACTGGAGTGTCCTCATGACATGGCGGCTGACTTTCCCCAGAGTAATCTACGATAGAAAGAGCAAGCTGAGGCCATATTGTCTTTTTAAAAAGATTTTTATTTTATTTTATTCTGGTAAGAACACTTAGCATGAGATCTACCTTCTTAACAAATTTCAAGTGTACAATATTGTTAGCTGTAGGCATAACATTATGCAGAAAACCCAAAATGTCTTTTATAATCTAGTCTTGGAAGTAGCATCGTATCACTTCTGCCATATTCAACTGGTCACACAGACCAACCCTGATACAATGTGGGAGGGGACAACACACGGATGGGAATGCCAGGAAGCAGGGATCACTTTAGAGGCTGGCTATCACAGAGGCAGACATATTATTTTAGTACAATAAATGCAGATGACCAGTTGGCAGGATGTTATTTTTTCTAGGAAGGGTTGTATTTCACATGGATTAACCTGAAGCCACAGTACCCTTGGGGACTCTGGCCCTCTCTCTCCTCTTCCACTTCAATTAAGGCCTGAAAGGCCCTTTCACCCATCACCATCATGGAGCAGGACTATAGATGAAAGAATGACCTCCAGGAGACAAACACAAGAGGAGGCAGGGCTTTGAGGGGACAGCAAAAGGTTAAAAAGGACCAAGAAGCTATTGAAAATGAGAGGGAATGGACAGGAAGGAGAAGCCCCAGACAGAATGTCCTTCCCGACCTAAGAGAGGGTAACCATACTGTGAGTCCTGAGAATCTAGAACTGTGGTCCCATACAGATTGTCCAAAGAACAAGTTCAGAGACTGGAGATTCCAGTTCCAAATCTCCCACCGTTGGGGCTTTGGGTGGACTTTCAAACCTGAAGTCAAGTCCTTTAGTAAAGGACTCTTTAAACATATTGCATATGTGGCCTTGCCTGCTTGGCTCAGTGGTTGGAGCACTGGCCCGTGGACCGAAGGGTCCGGGTTTGATTCTGGTTAAGGGCACGTACCTGGGTTGCGGTTGATCCCAGCCCCTGTTGGAGTTGTGGTCAATGTGTCTCTCTCACATTGATGTTTCTTTCTCTCCCTTCCTCCCTCTCTTCCACTCCCTCTAAAAAGCAATGGAAAAAATATCCTTGGTGATGATTTAAAAAAAATAAATTATTGTTAGACTGACAAGCCTCAAAGGGAAGGAGGTGGAGGGGTGTGGGAAGAAATAAAGCAAAGAACTTATATGCATATATGCATAACCAATGGACACAGACCACAGTGTGGGGAAAGGCAGGAGGGGGGTCGGGAGCGGGCAGGAGGGTGTCAATAGGGGGAAAAGGAGGAACATCTGTAATACATTCAACAATAAAAAGTAAAAAGCACAAATAAAAAATAAATAAATTGAAAAATATTATAAACACATTGTGTATGTGCCTTGCTTGCTAATAGCAAGGCAGTTCCACTATATCCTGCACCATCCCTTCTTTTCACATGAGGAGTTTATGGGTGAGGCTGTGTTTGTATTTCAGACAATCGACTTGTATATTACTCTCTCTTCTAGTTCCCTTTGTTTCCACCAAGAATTTAATAAATCCTTATGCAAACGGCGCAGGCTTGTCCCACCTGCACTCCTCAGAAAGTAGTGGGAAAGAGAAGGGAGCGGCAGCGTTGGTGAGGGGCGCCACCTGGAGGACTGCTTTGTGATCCAGCTGCCTCTTCCCGTGTTGAGGCTCTACCTCCATCAGGGAGTTCTAAGGATAGGCTTTATTAAGTAAGACAATAATTTCCTTATAGCTGGGTCAAGGACAGGGAGCCTGGGTTTTCTGAAAATAGCCAGGAAGGAGAGGGGGTGGGAGTGGAAGACAAGAGTAGATCATTCACAGACCAGACCTGTGAGGAAACAAAGTCACACAGAGTGAAATAATTTGCACACGGTCACTGTGACTCGTCAAGCCGTGCTTATAGCTCTGCCCTGCCTGCCTGAGTCAACGAATACCCGTGGCTGTTGTCACATGCATGAAGCAAAGAGAGAGGAAGTTGCTGGCACTCTGCAGTCTTCCAGAACAGTGGATGGAAAGACCACAACGACAATACACACACCTCTCCCCACACACCTTACGTAGAAGAGACGTGTGCAAGACAGACTCGTGAGGGTCACGCACATTCTTGTAAAACTGAGCAGTTGACGCTCAAGCCGACCCTCTGTCTCCTGGCTCATGCCCTGGGCAGAGAGGGCTGGTGAGGTCCAAACTGAGGCATGAATGGAAGGATGGCTGGAGCTTGGTTAGGGTAGAAAGATGACAGGAGATATGCTCCAGGGGATCAGGGGAAGGAGGGTGGAAGACTCTCAGGCAAGAGGAGAGTATGAGAGAAAACCCCAGGGCAGGACGGGGTGGGGGGCGGTGCTGACCTCCAGGGGGAAGAAGAGTAAGGAGCCAGGACAGGTGGAGGGAAAGTGGCTGCACCTGCAGCTGGTGACTAAGGAGTCAGGGGCCTGGACACAGTACCTTCTGTAGGGGGCCCAGTCTCTTGAATGATGTGGCTTCAGTGCAAACTGTGGCGGAGGAGTCCAAGAGGGACTCGGTGGGGGTGGAGCCTGATGGCTCCGCGCAGCTCACTCTCAGTGGCGCTGGGCTGGCCAATGTCCTGCCATCAGTTCCCTCTCTCCTGCACGGAAGACTCCTCTGGCTGGTGGGAAGGCCCACGTGGCTGTTGCCCTGCAGCTCGTGGGCTGGCTGGCAGGTGCAAAAGCGGCCATCCAGATGCTGGCATAGCGTCCTGGAGGATGGTGCTGACTGGACAGCACACTGGTCCTCATGGGGCTGAGGGGTTGATGGGGCACAGTGAGAGATTCTGGTTCTGAAGCTGCGGGGGAAGGCAACAACTCCCCTCCATCCCCATCGCCCCCAGCCAAGGTGAGGGCTATACTGTCTCTCAATCATTGGTATCAGTCACTCACACTTTGGTATAAATGTAAGCCACTGTGTGACTCAGGGGCATGGGCTCTGCTTTATCCTCAACTGTAGAATGCAAGGCTTTGCTTCCAGTTAAGAGAATTTCAATAATCAAGTTAAGAGGTAGGAGATAGTAACAGTAACAATAGCTAACTTCATCAATGCTTACTCTATTCCAGGTACCATGCTGAGCAATTTTACATGGAATCTTCACAAAATTCCTAGGAGGAAGGGTACCCTTGGTATTGCCTTGTAGGACCAGCAAATGTGACTTGTTTACTATAGGTTAGTGGCTTGTATATTCTCATACCACTAGTAAGAGGTGGCTGTTTGACACCAGAGCCTGTTTATCTGACCACTATGTAATACTCCCTCCCAATTATGGCTGCTATTTTAGGTTCATCTAGAGCCTCTGAGGCAAGTGGCTTACTCATGAACCAATGGCCTGGCTATGCTGGTGACCTTCAAATTGTGCACTATCCACTGGGGACAGAACAGAAGGTCCTGTCCTAGGGCTACCTCTCTTCCTAGAGTGGCCAGAACAAATGTAGGATAGGGGGAAGTGAGACTTGGGACTGGGTGGGTGGGGGAGAGGCAGGAGGCTGCTCCCAGATAGATGATGGGCCAGGAAGCCCTTGACAGGACAGAGGTCCCACTGTTCTTGCTGAAAGGGTGGGTTGGAAGGTCAGCTCCATCTCTTGGCCCTGGACTATAAATGACCTCTGGTGTAGGTTGATAATCAGTTGGAGCACAAGGGCCTACAGAGCCAGGCCAGAGCCATTATGTAGATGTGATTTAAGAAAGGAAGGGAAGGGGAGAGCCTGGGGGGTTCTTGCACCTCTGGCCTCGGAGGCCTTGGCTACCATTTTTGTTTCTTTCTTTCTGCCCTCCATGCAAACCCAGGTCAGCTCCATCGGAGACCTGCACAGAGCCCATTCATTTGTCTGTTGGGCCCCCTCATCCTTTCACCTCCTGTTGTACCTGCAAGATCTCCCCCACCCTCACCTGTCTATGATCATGACAGCCTTGGGGTGGCTCCAGGTCAGTGCTCGGGGACCCTGATGCCATGATTGAGAGGGTTATGTTGGGGGAAAGTTGGAAGAGAGTTGGGTGTGGGTAATCAAGGTGGTTCCTAGCAGGGGCAGTGAACTCCAGAGGGGAAATAACAACCTGTGGAAAGGCAAGAAGGGGTGGGAGGGAAGGATCAGGCCATAGCTAGGGGTGGCCCTCACCCTTATCTCTATCCTCAACCACACCAGGGACTGCTGACCTCTTATTGACCTTTGGGTATTTCAGCCTAAACCAGATGGGGTTCTTGCCTCTTAGGGGATAGCATTTGGGTGGGGGAAAGGGGTCCATATTAACAGGCCTGTGCTCTTTCTTGGGATCTTAGGATTTTCAGTGGCCTCAAAGGGTCCCCGAGGCCACTGGGATTGCCTTTGTCTTTTAGGGTTGAGAGATTTCCTTCTTCTGCCTGAGCTCCCTGGGCACGTGTCTGAGGGAAGAGGGGATAGCTGGGGAGTGGTACATGGCTAGACTTTGCTGCTCCTGCCTCCTCTTGGTCCCCTCCCAGAACATGGAGCCTGAGACCTCGGGCAGCATATGGCTCTCTGCTTCAGGGGACACATGCCTGCTCCTGCCCTCCTGTCCACTGTTGGACAGTTTCTTCTGAGCACAGGTATCTGGATTGACCTAAAGGATCATTTGGTGTTCAGGCTGGAGGGTTGTTGGTAATCATAGGGTGCTATCTTGGCCGGGTGGAGTGGGAGTGGGATGGGGCCTGGCTTAGGGCTGGCTTAGATGGGTGCAGTTATTCCACCTCACATGGAAATACACATCTTGGATTCCTAATCATTTCCCTGGGATCTAAGACTCAGGGCAAAAAAATCAAAGTCAGTCTTGGGATCCACAGCTCTGTGTTCCCCAGGAAGGGCCAGGGTGAGACCCATCCTGGGACCCACCCATCCATCTATAGCTGTTACCTCCTCCTGTCTTTTCTTTAAAAAAAATTATTTCTTTATTGATTTTAGAGAGAGAGGAAGGGAGAGGGAGACAGCTAGAAACATCGAAGAGAGAGAAAACATCGACTGGCTGCCTTCTGCATGCCCCCAACTGGGGATTTGGCCCACAACCTGGGCATATGCCCTGGCCAGGAATCAAACCCGCAACCTCTTGGTGCATGGGTCAACGCTCAACCACTGAGCCATACCAGCTGGGCCTCCCCTGTCTTTCCTCACATGTTGGTGTCCCTGGTGACCATCTTTTCTATCTGAGGATGAATGGAGCAGCCTGATTTGAATGAGGGTAGTAGGGGTCTTGTCAGAGTGAGTATACAGGTTGGGAATTCGTGTGTGTGTGTGGGGTGGTGGTGGTGGTGGAGAGACTAATGGGGAATGAAATATCCAAGAAGGTGGCAGAAGAGGTAGGACAACATGGTGGATCTTTTCTGGCTCCCACTGCTGTGAGAAGCACCCCCTGCTGTCCATAGGGGAAACAGCAGCCTGAGCTCTTCACAGCCTCAGGCTCCCACCCCCTTGTAAATGCCTCTGAAACTGCTCAGTGCTCCTCTGGATGCTTGTCCTCCTTTGGGGGTCTTCAGGCCTCTGGCTCCTGGAGGGGTGAGGTTGAGTGGAGGATGTGGACCTGCAGTGTGGATGCTCATGTCATAGGAGTTTCAGAGGATTGAGGCTGCTTCCACTTGGGCCTGCCAGTCACCATGGAGGCCTCCAAGCTTCTGGGTGAGGCCTTTTGGCAAGACTCCAGTGAGGGGCACTAAACTGACATAAAGAACACAGAGAACAGTCCTGTGGGGAGAGGCTTGGACATGCGCTGTGAACTCAGTGGCTGGAACACTGCATTGACCTGGTGACTTAGGCAATGGGTGAATACACATGGAGCATCATCCTTCTGCTTCTTGGAAACGGACAAGGTAGGGCCCAACAGCCCTCGGAGCTTCTGCTGAGCAGTTTGTCTGAGAGAAGGGCTCTCCACTCCCCACTCTACTGGGGTCATCTGCAGAGAGGCTGGGCAAGGAAAAAGCTATTCAGTTCCACTCTTGAGTTTTTTTCTTGCTCTTTTTCAAATGCATTCCAGGGTGTGTGGTAGGGTCAGTGTTTCATGCCTAGTTCTTCTTGGCCAGAGCTCCAGTGACTGCCCTGAATGTGTTGGATGGGGGCCTAGCCATTGCAGGAAGAGGGGGGCAGAAGTGTTCATCTAATGAGCACAGGCCAGGGACTTTCCAACAATTCCCCCTTCCTACCCCAGCTGGACTCTGTCCCCACCCACACTGAGTCCTCTTCTTTCTGACTTTTGTCCCACAGTACTTTTATTCTGAAAGAACCAAGGCCACTGGAGGTAGGGAGGTGCCAGAGGTTAGAGCTGGCTCTGACCACAAATAGGCCCTATCCTTCTGGGTTGTTTCTCAGGGCAGTGATTCCAGGACCGTAAGGGAGGGGACTTGCTGTTCTCAGTTCTCTGCCTTGTCCTCGGTCCCCAGTCTTGCTGGCCTTTAAGCAGAGGGTCTCTAAAGCCAGGCCTGTTGGTCTTTTTCCCACTACTGCATTCACATCCCCATGATTTGCATCTTTCTAGCCCTTGACTTTGTATTTTCCATCCGCTTCCCTTTTCATTCTTTTCTGGCCTTCTTACTGCCTGTCCTTCTCAAAGCACACATGGAGGCCAGGCCACTATTTAGAAGCTTCTCAGCCTCCCCCAGTACTGTACAATGGGTTTTACCCATTCCCTCCTTCTCCTCCATGTAGGATGAAAGTATGAGATAGCAAGGATGCATTCAGATGTTGGTAAACTGAACTCTGTATGTGTGGGGCTATGCCTTGGGCCTGGTTCTGTTGAGCATAGGAGGTTTTTCCCCCCAAAATAAGGACAAGGAAATGGACAAAAAGATTCTATTATTAGCTCCTGTTTAAATTCTTGAACCTTACTCGCAGTTTTACAAAAGGTGTGCCAGGATAGAGTTTTCACTAACCCTCAAGTGCTCAAAGCTTAGTTCTCAGGTAGAAAATAAGAGGCCAAATGAACTAAAGAGAGTGTAAATCAGTTATTCTCTAGTGCCCTTTTCCCTTTGCCTGTTTCTTTCATCCAGGAGGCCAGACCTTGAACTGGCTATGAGGTCACTATTGGGCAGTGGAGTATGAGAAAGAAAGGAATTTGGCCTTGGAGGCTGCCAATTACAGATTAACATGGGGAAGGGTGAGAAGGGACTCAGGAGGTGGGGGTAAGTGGCCTGAGAAAGGGCCTGATGATCTGGGACAATCTGGGCTTGAAGGGGCACAAGCAAGAGGAGTCGGGGGACCGGCGCTGTCTGGAAGGGCTTCAGCTCCTCTCTGGCTACTTGACCTTCCTGAAGACCTGCTTGCATACTGCATCCCTCGCAGTCAGTTCCTGGGGACAGAGTAGGCATGATAAGGAGAAAAACGTTCTTGCCCGCTGGAGCTCCTTTCTCAAGGTCCTTGACCTCCATTTCATCCTTCAGGATACATCAGCTAGAGTATTTGATATATGAGGGATTGTATCATTGTTCCAGATCCCGAACTTTTCACCCCAGAGGAAGGAAGGTAGCTGGGCCAGGGGATGTGAAATGGTGAAGTCTCTATCTCTCTAGTTATGATTTATGGACATTCATTTGACGTGTAGCCAGGGTCCACTTTGGCTACTCTATTTTTTCCTCTCTCTACTCTCCCTAGTCCTTTTGTCACCCTTCCTTTGTTGCCTTCTTTGGGGGGTGGGGAGTGGGGAGGGCAGGAAAGTAGTAGATATATCTGATTTGGGCAAAGGGATGAATCCTAGCTGGAGGCCCCTTTCCCAGACATGCTCATTTGGGTCCCATTTCCCAGACCTCATCCAGCTTACCAGGTACAACGTCTCTCCTTCCAGCCAGTGCCTCCAGCCTCGGTTAGGCACCTCCCCTTTCTGCACACAGACCAGCTGCTCCTCTTCCCAGGTTACTACGGTCTATAGGCAAGGCAGGAATAAAGGGCGACTGAGGGGCAGTCCCACTGACTGGCTGGGCTGCCCCCTTTATACCATAGCAGATGCTGTCTTGCTGCAGCCCCTTCATTCTGAGTGAGAAGGCTACTCTGATTTAGGACTCCTGTCCCCCACTCTTAAAGGCCACCGAGCAGGGTCCACAGTTTGTCTACAGTGGGGCAGAGCAGGGATGGAGCATGATAACCGAGGTGAAATTGGGGAGTGGGTGATAAAGAACGGAGACTTTGTCCTCTGGACACTTGTGGTCAACTTGGAGGGGCCTTTGGGAAAGAAGAAAGATAGGTTGGGAGTCCCATCAGGGAATCTCTTTCCTCCTCTTTTTCTGTTTTCAAGGACAGCTGAAGGGTCCCTGAGAATGAAGGATCAAGCCCCCTGAGTCAGGGCTGGGTGGGCCTGGGCACTCCAGTCAATATTTATTGAGGCCTTCCATAAGACAGACCCTGCTCAACAAAGAGCTCAGAATCTTGAACTGATAGAGCAGTAAATAAGTATTTATGATTCCAGGTAAGACTGCTGAGGATGAAAGTCAGGAGGGAAGAGCTGAATCTTCAAGAAAATAAGGAGTTAATTAGATCGGAGGTAATGGGAAATTTCTCATAAGGAAAGTAACAACAGAGAGGTAAGAAAGAGGGAAAATAGTTTTGAGAGGCTGTAACCTAGTGTGTATGTGGGAAGGACCCTAGTGTACCATGTGAAGCATATGGGCCTTATCTGGAGTGTAGGAGATTGTCACTAAAAGGGTTTAAATAGGGAGTGACATGGTCACTTTTACATGTTAGATAGGTCCTTGTGGCTACAGTATGCAGAGTGGTTTAAAGAAGGGTTAAGACTGAGGACTAACAAGGTGAGAAATCAGGACCTGAATTAGGATGGCAATAAAGAGAAAGGCTAGGAAGGAACAGATGAGAGCATGTGGAATGGCAATGTTCAGTAGAAATATAATGGGAATGCAAGCCACGTATTCAATCGAAAGAATTCTAGTAGCTACATTAGAAAAGTAAAAAGCAACAGGTAAAATTAATTTTAATATGTTTTATTTAACCTAAATTATCCAAATTTTTATAATTTTAGCATGTAATCAATATAAAAATTTCTGAGATATTTTACATTCCTTTTTTTATATTGCCTTAAAAGTCCACTGTGTATTTTACACTTACAGTATGTTTCAATTTGGATTAGTTACATTTCAAGTGTTTAATAACTATATATGGCTAGTAGCTACTATATGGGACAGTGCAGAAAAGTTATAAAGACTTATTGAACAATATGCCCTGGCCAGTTTGGCTCAGCGGTTAGAGCATTAGCCTGTGGTCTGGAGAGACCTGGGTTCGGTTTCCGCTAAGGGCATGTACCTCGGTTGCAGTTTGTCCCCAGCCCTGGATGGGTCGTGCGGGTGGAAACCACTTGATGTGTCCCTTTCATGTCAATGTTTCTCTCTCTCTTTCTCTCTCCCCCCCTCTCACTCTATCTGAACAAAAAATGGAAAAATGTCCTCAGGTGAGGATAAAAAAAAAAAAGACTTTTGAACAATTAGATGTGGTGGACACAGTCTTGCATGTGTGTGTATTGGGACCCCAGAAGTAAGGGGACATGATATATTGACTGTAACTCTTAGGTCTCTGGTCCTGCTAACCACTACCATTTATAGGGACAGTAAACACAAAAACAGGAATAGGTTGGGGTAGGAAAATAATGACTTTGGGTTTGACCTTGGGACATGCAGATGTAAACATTTTGCAGGCAGTTAAAAACTTGACCCTGGAGCTCAGGAGCTCTGGTTAGAGAATACGTGTCAAGGGCAGCCTACAGATAGTAGCAGAAGAAATGGGTGTAGATTATTGGGCCCCTGGATGGTGTACAGATAAGAGAGAGAAATTCAAGAACAAAATACTGAGAAAAACCTCAGTTTAAGACATTAGGGGAAGTAGGGTCTGCAAAGGAGACTAAATGGAACATGTAAGACGCAGAAAATAATGCAGGAGAGTGGAGTTATAGAGGGTAAGGGAAAAAAGACTGTGGTGATGAATAGGGTCAAAGGCTAGAAGGTAAGCAAATGTTTGCTCATTGGCCCGAGGGTGACCTGCTCTTTATGTCCTTTCGGCTGGTGATAAGAGAGTAGAAGTGGGGCCCTGGCCAGTTTGGCTCAGCGGTTAGAGCGTCAACCTGCAGTCCAGAGAGAACCGGGTTCGGTTCCTGCTAAGGGTGCGTACCTCGGTTGCAGTTTGTCCCCGGCCCTGGTTGGTCGTGCGGGTGGCAGCCACTCGATGTGTCCCTTTCACATTGAGGTTTCTCTCTCTCTTTGTCTTCCTTTCTCTCCCTTCTACTCTATCTGAACAAAAAATGGAAAAATGTCCTTAGGTGAGGATAAAAAAAAGAGAGTAGAAGTGGGGATCACCAGGAGCTTGTTATCCTGGGGACTCCAATCCTGCTGTGGTGGTCATTTCTCTTGGCTCTGGTTGGGTGAGGTCACTTTGCTTTGCCCCAAATTGTTAAGAAGCACCTACTTGCTCATCCATATCCCCTCCCCCAAGCCTCAGGAAAGATACCTGGCATTTTCGTCCATCCACAATCCTTAGGTCCTCCTCAAACTCAACTCCCACCTCGAATTCTAGAATGTAGTTGCGAAAGGTGCTGAGGGTCTTCACTATCATGTGGTTGCCCTGATGGTCAATCTCCTTGTCTGGCTTGAGCAGCAGCGCTATCTTCCGCAGAGCCACGTTGATGTCTGTGGGAGTTCTCTCTTAGCGAGTGTCCTCTCAGCCAGCCAGCCAGCCAGCCAGCCAGCCAGCCAGCTAGGGGTTTACCCACCTGCAGCAGCCCCTGCGGCTGTGAGCTTTCCCTTAGCTGGTCTGGACTGTGGATTTACTTCCCTCCTAGAAATGCCCCTGGCTAGAGATGGGTCCCAAGACAGGTACCAGCTCCTGAACCTTTCCACACAGTCCAACCCCCGGCATTCCCCCTTCTCAATGGGGTGGAGAGGCAGGGAGGTAGAGGGAAATAGGGGAGTGCAAAGGGTCTGGGGGTGGGGGGGTAGGCCATTACTTAGGGCTTGCAGGTAGTCCTCCATGTTCTTCTGAGAGACAAAGCAGTAGTAGCCGGTGAGGTTGGGAGGCATTGTCCAGTCTGGCCAAGTTGGAGATCAAGATTTCAGAAGAATATAGGAGACAGGGTGAGGAGGGAGGAGTGTTGTCTGTCAGGCGGGCCCCCACACACAGAGACAGGCTTGTGTAAAGATCTATGCCTACCAGGGTTTTTATAGCGCTGGGGCCCTGTTGCAGTAAGAGCTCCTACCAGACTTCCTCCCTCCCCTCATGATGAGTTTGGGGTGGTGTTTGCTGCCTGAGGGAGGGGCAGGGACTTGGCAAGGTTGTGCTTGACCTGGGCTTTTCCTGAGGAAGGAGCAGGATCTGGGGCTGTCATCCAAGACTTGTGCCTTTTCAAAGGTCAGTTTGGCTTCCAGCCCATTTCTGGCAGGCTTGGGAACCACTCCAGAGCCCTGGGGAGGTGGTGTCCCCTGGAAGGGAGCTGGTCTTGATGTATGGAGCGTGGGTTCTTCCAGGCTCACCCAGGGATGAGTTCCAACAATATTCTGAGATCCTGGGACTGAGTCAGGGATCCTGAAAAGTATGAGGGGAGAAGGTGGGGAAAGAAGGAGGACAGCCAGCTGGCCAAGAGCCAAAGTAAAGAAAATCCTATAGCGCTGGCCCCCACAACTCCTCCAGACACTTTTGCTGAGGGGCATTCAGACTGTTTGTCCCATAGGCCATCAGGAGGTGGAGAAACTACTCTTCCGGAGCACAGAGGGGGCTGTTAGTAGCCCGATGAGGTGTTGAGTTCAAAGTCCAGAGCTGAAGGTGAGGGAGGAGTTTGGTTGGCTATTCTGGGGTGTTTTACACTTTTTGGCTTGGGATGCAGGGTTTTCTTCTCCCTCTGGAGTCATTTTACCTACTATCACTCCCAGTCCCCAGCCATTGGGCAGCCCAGCTTACCATGGTGGAGGGGGCGGGTGAGCCTAAATTGTTTTGTGCCCCGCCCCCCAACCCTACCAACTTCTCTGGCTTCAGAATCAATTGGGCGGATTTATCATGGTTTAAGGTGGGAAATTCGGGGAGAGGGAGGCAGGGAGGGATGAGACTATTACTTAGGGCTTGCAGGTAGTGGGAAAAATTAAACCTGGTGGTGAACTGCCTCGACAGGTGTGTGTGTATGTGCGCGCGCGGCACAAACATCTCACTTTTCCTTCAGTCCCTCCCAGAGCCCGTTCTACCGCCCTGCTGACCACCCCTCGGTTTCCTCAGAGAGACGTGAGGCTGGAAACTGAAACGCTAGGATCTCAGGCTCAGGCTGTGGGTTTTACTTCGCGGTTCCCAAGAGGCACGCAGCAGGGACTTGCTGACGGAAGGGGCTGTGTAAAGAGGTTAATGCAGAGTTGGGGGGTGGGGTGACGCGGTACCGCTCCTCTTCGCCTCTCAGGTCTCCGTTGACGTCTCCCTTCCTCCCCTCCGGGTTTTTAGCTTCTCCATTCTCCCAGTGTCCGTCTTCCCACTCCCTCTACAGCTTTCCAGCTTCTTCCCCAGCCCCCGCAGTTCCCTTGCTCCCGCAAATTGCAATCCGGGGGAAAAAGCCCAACGCATTCGCCCGCCCCGCCCCCCCCCCCTCCGTGGGCTCCCTCCCCCCCGCTGCAGCACCTGGCCCTCCCAGTCAACCAATTGGCCCGTGGCCCCATCAATCTTCGTCTGGCTGTGCTTACGTCATCCTGCAGTAGAGGGGATGGGGTGGGAATGAGAGAGCGAGAGCGAGGACGCCTGGCTGAGAGCGAGCGAACGAGAAGCCACTGCAAGTCCCCCCCTCAATCGCCCAGGTTGGGGTCTGCCCAGCTCTGCTTTATGGACTAGCGTGGGCGGCACGCTCCTCTCTCTGCCCTGCTCCCCTCTGTCTGCCCTCTCCTACTTGGAGGTCCCCTGCATCCCTCCCCCAAGGTGCAATAAGTGGGCTTAAGGCTCCCAGGGGAGAGCAGTCGCCTGGTCCTGCCTGCCCTACACCACACCATACCATGACCCTCCTGCTGCTGCCCCTCTTGCTGGCCTCCCTACTTCCCTTCAGCTCCTGTAACAAAGGTGAGTGAGGTGCGGGGTGGGGGCACTAAAAGAGGGTATCAGGCAAAAGGATGAGGGGTGGAGGTGGGCAGGAGCCATGAGGCTCTCTGGCACATGACAGGTGTCGTTCTTCCCACCATTCCCCTTCCCATCCATTTTCTCAGACCTTCATCTTCTCCTTTCTCTCGCAACCCCTTTGCCACATCCTCCTGTCAGGGCCATCTCTCCCCATATGCTTCTTCTGCTCCCATTTGGTTCCTAATCCCATCCTGGGGTTTCTGTCTCCCCCCCTTTCCCAATTTCTCCCTGTTGGAGATATCTCAGGTCTCAGAAGACTTGCCCTGAGGGGTAACATACATCTTTGGTTGGTTCTCCATTTTCACTGGGGTGTGCCTGCTCTAAGGGTGTGTGGCAGATCCATCTGGTTCATCTCCATCCCATCCTGGGGAGAAACTGTTCCTTGCAGCTCAGCAATTCGGAGCACGTATGTTTTGGCGTGTTCCTCTGCATCTATACCCTTATGCCTGCATGCAGCTGGGCTGTGGGTTACCAGAGCTGCCCTCTCTGGCAGACAGCAGATAAATTCAGCTGGGTGAGGCTGACAGAGGGACCAGGAGGGAGGGAGGAAGGGAGAGGGTGGGGGAAGAGGGCCCAGGTAGGTGAAGAAAGGCAGGAAAGGGCAAATGTGGGTGTGTGGGAGAGCTAAATGAGTGGTGAGAGGAAAAGCTGAGAAGGAAAGGGGAGATGAGGTGTGGGAGAGAGGTAAGAAGGGGTTGGAAAGGGTAGAGGGAGAGGCAAAAGAAGAGAGGAATGAAAGGGAAATCAGAAAGAACTGATGAGAAAAGTGGGAGAGAGTCAAGGAAGGAGAACAGGGAACCTAGGAGTTAGTGAAAGGAGATGGACACAAGGAGAGAGTTGGTGGCCAAGAGGAGAGGAGCAGGGTCAAGGGTGAGCTGTGGAGAGGGTACCCAGTACTGGTCTTGCAGTCTGTCACCCCTCTATCCTCAATCTCCGACCTCAGTCTGGCTTTTTAGCCTCCTGCCACTTCCTGTGCTGCCTTCTGCACACCATCTTGTGGCTTTCTCCTCTGCCACTAGAGAAGGAGGTGATGGTGGTCATCAGCAAGAAAGGAGTAGGCTTTCAGGTACCAGAAGGCTTTTTGGGGGTGGGGTTGGAGGAGAAAATAAAAATCAGGATTTCTTGCTCACTATGACATTCTGGGGATGAGTTTCCTTTGGTGACATCCTTTTGGATGATGTGTTTCTCTGCCCATGGCCCACTGATGGGCCATCACGAATGTGCTTGGGAACCTGGGGTTTGCATGATAGGATTAGATAGATCAGACAGTGGAGGTTGGGGTTGGGAGGTGATGTAGGAAGGGAAGGAAATATGCTGTACCTTCCCCGTAGCCTCCTACCAGGCTAGTGGGAAATTGGTCCTGGCGGGAGGCACAGTAGAGCTAGGCCTGGCAGGAGGTGGGGAGATTGGCTGGTGGTTGAAGGGAAGCAGGATGGAGGAGGCAAAAACTGGGGCCAAATCATGAGTCTGTATAAAAAGTGGGGTTCAGGGAGTGTGGTTGGTGGCCTTGGGGGAGGGGACATAGAACTGTGTTGGTTATGAGTATGTTCTCTTGGCTGTGGGGTGAGAAGCAGGGAGGAGATTAGTCATGTTTCTAGGCCACTTCAATAATCCCTTAGGATGTCGGCTCTGCTGGGTTTAGTTATTTGGCATTGATTCCTCTGCTCTATTCCTGCCCCTCTCTGTCCCCCTCCTTCTGTCCTATATATTTTCTCTCCTCTCTTTTCTCCTCTTCTCTCTAAGCTGGGAGAATGGCTTTAGGTTGGGGCCTGGCTGGGAGAATTGCAGAGTGAAGGGATCAGGATTAAAATGGGGTGGTTGCAGTGGTGGTGGAGAGGATAAATAGGTTCTCAGGAAACTTCTAGATCTACTTTTCCTAATCTCAACTCTGCCCTTAATCTATCCCTTTCCTTTCCCAGGGCCTTCTGATGGCCCACCACTGTTTCCCGAATCCCCAGTCTCCACTCTTCAGCACTTGAAATCCCTGAAGAAAATTCTCTACGCTCTGACCATGTTTCCCAGGGGACATAGGGGACTCCTCTTCGAGGCAGGCTGTTGCCATGAAAATTTTTTTTTTATCCTCACCCGAGAACTTTTTTTTTTTTTTTTTATATTTTGTTCAGATAGAGTGGGAGGGAGAGAGAGAGAGAGAGAGAGAGAGAGAGAAACATCGACGTGAAAGGGACACATCGAGTGGTTGCCACCCACACGACCAAACTGCAACCGAGGTACATGCCCTTAGCGGGAACCGAACCCGGGTCTCTCTGGACCGCAGGCTGATGCTCTAACCGCTGAGCAAAACCGGCCAGGGCAATGAAAACTTTCTATCCTGCCATAGGAGAAGGCTGTGACCTCCTTCAGACCCTCTGACTTCTTTTCCCGCCTGCAGGTGCTTCTGCAGGGTGTGGAAAGGATGATGATACTGGAGTGCGAGTTTGTCTGAGTCGATGAGGGTTGTGTGGGAGTGGAGGGCGAGCTCACAGGTTCTTCCTCTCCTCTCCCTGTGGGGGATCAGCCAACAAGCACAAGCCATGGATTGAGGCGGAATACCAGGGCATCGTCATGGAGAACGACAACACGGTCCTGCTGAACCCACCACTCTTCGCCTTGGACAAGGATGCCCCCCTGCGCTATGCAGGTAATTGGGGTTGGTGGATGTTAAGGTGGGTAGAACAGAGAAAAGTGGTTGGGAGGGCAGAGGGCAGGGGAGGAGAGGGAAGATCCTGGGCGGGAGAGCAATAAGGAAGTAGGGAAGAGGCCTTGGAAACTGGAAGATGAAGTTGGCCCAAGGAGCTGAAAGGGCTGCATTGAAGCTGGTGGTTGAGTAAAGACAACCAGACAGGACATGGGTAGACAAGCCTTAAATGCATCAAGATTTTGCCAGATCTGAGACCTGGTTCCTCTGAGAGGTTACTGTTCAGGAAAGCTTGTGTTGGTATATAACTGATACTTGTTGCTTCCACATGTACGAAAACGGACAGGGGTTGGGAAGAGAGATTGAAGTAGGAACC